CTAGCATGAAAAGGTTGGGTGGAAACCTGGTTATGTCAACCCATTTTGAGGATGCTGGAATTATATTTTGGATGAACGTGCGCATGCCTACTGGAGACTTTTGAAGAAGCCTAATAAGATTAAAACATTGTGACTGGTTGTGTTTATGTCACATATAAAAGTTAATACATTTTAAAAGTTTAACAAATATTTAGGCTATATTGAAGCGTTAGGTTCTAGGTGCGCCAGGAATAGCTGCTCGGATTGGAGGGGAGGCAGAGCGCATGTTAAACTTTCCTGAATAACTGGGCCTGCCGGGGAGCATATGTGGCCACATTATTATAGGACGACTTCGGAGAATGAGGATCTGCAACAGACAGCGCATCTCAGTATCAGTAAAAATACAGCCACACTGGCCTGCTACTGTGCCTTTCAAGACCACATAAACTGTCTAGAGTAGACCCACAACTGATCGAAATGGAATGAAACATTCAAATCACAGGGCTTTTGCGCCGTTATTCAAATGACATTTTCACTGCAGCCTAGAGTATAGAATTTGGTATTCATTTGTAGGCTAGGCTTGGTAAGGATAATAGTATTTTTCCCTAAACAAGATCAATAGGGGAGCTTTTTGAGTCTCTCATGTCTTTCATGACGCACCTGGCCTCTCCGCTGCCTATCAGCTATTCCTTTTTGTTCTTGTGGATTCATATTGAAAATTGATCCAGCCTATTTTGGACCCCCCCCCCCCCCCACCCCAGTAAATTTCGAACTGTCCTAACTGCTTACAGTTTCCTTTATAGTATAGAATATCTACTTTCTTGCATTCAAATTATGATTATTTCAAATGATCCCAATCTAACATGCAAAAATGCTCAAGTAGCTTTTTTAAAATCAGTATTTATTATTAGTTGTCCAATTTAACATAGCCTGCTTTGCTATGTTGGCAATTCATATAACGATGTATCACTACCTAAAATGGGAAAATGTACAATGCATCATCCCAAAGCTCATAGACGGTGACCTGGGTGAGTGGTTTAAAACTGGGTGTGTAAACTGGGTGTGTAAACTGTCCTGAGATTACGTTCCGTAGGTGACTAGAGTCCCCTACCCCTGCTTGCTGATGTGGTCCCATTCAAACACACAGCATTATGATTCTCTCTGAGAGGTTTTGTGCTGTCAAAGCCGTGGTTTTATGAAGACATCAAAGATTTAAATAGCCTACAGAACAGTGTAATGCCAATCAGTTTATACGACCATGTTCCTTCCCTGGTCTTTGAAAGCACTGAGCACAGAGCGACCCGTGTACCTATCTACAGCGCATTTGATTTTCCATATGGCATGCCTGATATTAATTCACGTAAATTATACATTGTTTAATTGATGTAAGAATGATCTCGCACTACAAATTATGGATACACACACATGCAGTATCGCGAACCAGATAGGCTACTGTAACCGCTGGGCTATTTTAGGAATTTCATTCTTCTTGTCCCACTGATGCTGTGGTTATTCGAGGCTTGACATGTCATACATTAAGGCATAATTATAACCAACCCCATATGAAATATTATATTTCTGTGCTACTGCAATTACATTTATCTGTAAAAAGCAAGGATCTTATGTCAAATGATGGTTATTGTTCCTCCTTTATTCTATTTTGTTGACGCATTTCCATAGAAAATCCTAAACAAACGTAACTCTACAGCTGGTATGACATATTGTAAATGAAGAATATAATAATTATATCCTTACCTTTAAAAGTGTATTTTAGGCTCCTATTACGCAACACACCACCGCGTCTAGCACCTGCAGAAACACTAACGTCATATGACTAACAGTTGACTACTGAGGTGGGCGGGCCCTCAATGTTGGTGTGGTTTGATTGATATTTCAAGCCACTAATCCTGGACCACGCTCACCGAAACGTCCTAAAATATTCAAGATGCGTTAAACCCATCCCTATTTATTATTTATCCTCCTAGCTTGTGCTTCTTTATAATTTATAACAAAAGAGTGTCAGGAAATTATTAATCGAATGACCATACATAGCCATGCTCTTCAAAAACGTCAGTTGATAATAATAAAACCATATTTTTATCTCTCTTTCAATTTCTTTTAATAATGATGTCCCTGGTGTAAATCAATATTAGATCTAGTTCGGGACTTATTATTAATTTGGATCATGTAGAGTCTACCACAGATTGCAATAAATTATTGTAGCCTACACTGTTTATTTCGTTGTAATGGATATGGTGATGAGGAGAGGAGGAGAGGAGGAGGATAGGCACCTCTCCTCATATCATTATTCTGAGCAGTGATGAGGAGAGAGACTGTTGGTGCAGTATTTCTAGTCCCATAACTCTTCTGAACAATGATAGCAAGTATTGGGAGAGTGTCTGCCATTTTGAATGGATAAGGAGCAGAGGGAAGGACAGCCGCCCTTGGCCACCCAACTTTGTCTCCTGAGTGCCTCTTTCTTGTAAGACCCTCTTACTTCAGCCGGCAGGGCTGGATTCAATTGATTTGAACTCACAAATCTGGGAACAAATTGAAAACATAATTGCTGAAATGCAATAGACCCCAAACCCTTCCAGACTGTGGTTAAACATTTTTACATTTACATTTTAGTCATTTAGCAGACGCTCTTATCCAGAGCGACTTACAGTTAGTGAGTGCATACATTTTTCATACTGGCCCCCCTGTGGGAATCGAACCCACAACCCTGGCGTTGCAAGCACCATGCTCTACCAACTGAGCTACACGGGACCTACAGGAGTAACCATAGGAGTAACCCCAGGGATGGCAGGTACATTGGGCTAACGACAAATAGAACCTACTAAATGACGATGTGAACCCCTACAAGCACTACATCTAATAAAATAGAATCGGTTCATATGATTTTCTCTTGTGACCCCATTTTTCAATAAGATACCCCATATGGAGACCTAGAGGGCCTGTTACATTTCAGACAGAATGAACACACTGGTGACAGCCACTGGCTGCCACAGCCTACAGTAGCAATAGAATAGTTGATTTGTAGTTTCATTCAGTATGAGAAATGTATGCACTCACTAACTGTAAGTCGCTCTGGATAAGAGCGTCTGCTAAATGACTAAAATGTAAATGTAAATGTAGCTTCCCCAGAATGACATGCAGAGAGAACACTATCTCCTGTATAAAGATGGTTACTGTGCATTCAGTAGACCTTAGTGTACTGTACAGTTAAGTAAAGCTAATTCACAGATGTAAAATATACTCAATAGTATTGTACCATTGAGCTGACCACTGGCACTAGCTGCAAGTGCTGTAGGGCCTAACAAAAAATGTAACACCAACACTAGGTGGCAGTAGCTGTGGCCGTGTGTGATTTCAGGACTCTTCAAATCAGCCAGGAAGATGGAAACTCCTACCTTGATGAGGAAGTGAGTCAGTTGCAGAGGATGTGAGCAGAGCGAGGAGTGGAGTGTGCACAATTTGACTGGAGCATGGAGCGAGATTCCCAAAGGCTGGAGCAGCGAGCTCCAATTTTGCTCCATTAGCGCTCACTTCACGAGCTCAGGGCATGCCCGCCCTAGCATGCATTGTAGTCTACTTGTGTGCTGCGAATAGCCCCTTGGTTTAGCTACTGTCATGGAGTTCGCTAAATATTTTCATAAAGAAACTGATAGAACACACAGATGCTAAATCAATGTGACTTACAAAGATGAGGACCAAGAGCAAGAGAGGGAGTGCGGTGTTGTAGTGTCCACAACTACAAAATCATTGTGGAATCTGAAAAGACACTTATCCCGAAAGCATGATGCTGTACTTACTATGTGCACATGCTAAAAGAAAGGAACGAGGTGGGTAGATAACTAACTGTGTCATTGTAGCAAAGTATTTATAAACTAAAAATCAGATCTCTTAAACCTTTTGTTCATTTTCGTTTTATTATCTATACAATAGGCCATCATTGATTTTGGCCCAATAGGCCTGGCATATTCCCACATTCAAGGAGCTTTCCGTTTTGAATGGGTTATTTTGTCTAAAACCTTTAGGCCTACTTATAAAAAATAAAATTTAAAAACTGCATCTCTGCCCAGCCTGGTAGGAGAGGCCAAAAGGGCGTTTAGCATCCCCAGTGGCTCTGCAATTGTGGAGGGATATTCTCCGCTGCTGGCCTGCTCTCCAGGCACCATCGCATGAGCCTGAAGCCACAGACTGGCCAAACTCGTGTTTCTAAAAACAAATTTTAAAAATGAATGTAAGTTACAGCCTATATGCACAATTTATACACTATAATGATTTAATATAACAAAAAGTTGTTTAAATGCTGCATGCTTTATGTCCCTACCAGCCTATTGTGTCACACTCACAAATGCTTCACAATGTATTTATTTGTAGGCCAAAGCCTTGAAATAATTGAAATAATATAGGCTAAATAATTCATTTTCGTTTCTTCTTAGGCTCCCTGCCTGGCTCCTGACCTATTTAGAGTGTTTATATGCTGTTTAATATGACATGTAGCCTATTTTAAATGATGTTCGCTTCTTACATTTTAATTCAAATCCATATGATTTGGTTTCAATACTTAAAAACCAATTGGTAAGTTCAGGTAGTCACAAAAATAGATCGTGTTGGTTAAATTGTGATTTTAATCAATGGAGCGAATTTGGAGCTGGAGTTTGTTTTCCTGTGCACATTGAGCAGTTTTTAGCTGATCCGTAGGAAACAGGAGCCCAGGAAAGGACATGGAGCTCTGGAGCGGTATGCAATCCATGAGAGATGAGCGGGATTTCCGACCGCTCAACTCTGCTCACATGCTCTGGTCAGTTGTAATTCTGATAACTCACGTTTTATTTACTATTTTAACTCAGCTAATGTCAGCTAAATTGCCACATCAGATGCGTTTGACTTCGATACTTCAAACAAAGATATTGATTAACCGTGGGTGTGGGTAACCTTTGCCAGGCAGGCACAAACATTAGTTAGCTAGCTAGCTAATGTATTGCAGATGACTGGTCCTCTGCAAATCAAGCATGATGATTCCTCCGGGTAAAGACTTTCTTGTGCGGATTTCATTCTATTGGAAACCACTGTTACAAGGAAGATTTCTCATATTAACATACGCTCTCAGCGGAGGTCTTATGTTGTCTCTGGGAGATATCATACAGCAAACCAGGGAGAAAAGGAAAGATCCTGATATAATTTGTGACTGGAGTCGCACAGGTGAGAATCTCCAATGGCAAATTGTGTACAGATGCAGTGAAATACACTATATATACAAAAGTATGTGGGCACCCCTTCAAATTAGTAGATTCGGCTATTTCAGCCACACCCGTTGCTGACAGGTGTATAAAATCGAGCACACAGCCATGCAATCTCAATAGACAAACATTGGCAGTAGAATGGCCTTACTGAAGAGCTCAGTGACTTTTAACATGGCACCGTCATACAATGCCACCTTTCCAACAAGTCAGTTTGTCACATTTCTGGCCTGCTAGAGTTGCCCCGGTCAACTGTAAGTGCTGTTATTGTGAAGCAGAAACGTCTACGAGCAACAATGTCTCAGCCACGAAGTGATAGGCCACACAAGCTCACAGAACGGGACCGCCGACTGCTGAAGCGCGTAGGACGTAAAAATCATCTGTCCTCGGTTGCAACACTCACTACCGAGTTCCAAACTGCCTCTGGAAGCAACATCAGCACAATAACTGTTTGTCGGGAGTGTCATTAAATGGGTTTCCATGATCGAGCAGCCGCACACAAGCCTAAGATCACCATGCGCAATGCCAAGTGTCGGCTGGAGTGGTGTAAAGCTCGCCGCCATTGGACTCCGGAACAGTGGAAATGCGTTCTCTGGTGTGATGAATCACCCAGATTCGTCCGGTTTTGCCAGATGCCAGGAGAACGCTACCTGCACGGATACATAGTGTCAACTGTAAAGTTTGGTAGAGGACGAATAATGGTCTGGGGCTATTTTTCATGGTTTGGGCTAGGCCCCTTAGTTCCAGTGAAATGTTAACGCTACAGCATACAATTACATTCTAGACGATTCTGTGCTTCCAACTTTGTGGCAACAGTTTGGGGAAGGCCCTTTCCTGTTTCAGCATGCCTATGCCCCCATGCACAAAGCGAGGTCCATACAGAAATTGTTTGTCGAGATCAGTGTTGAAGAACATTCTGGTCCATTGCAAACTGCAAGGGTGCCAATACTGAACAAAAATATAATGAACAATAATATGAACGCAACAATTTTCATGGCTATGTTCAGGGTGGTCTTTGACCATCCACCAGAGGGCAGCGTGGGAGGTGAGCACCTACTCTAACTCCGGCAGGATGCCCAGACCGCTGCGGAGTACGCCCTTGCCTTCCGGACGGTGGCAGCCTCAAGCGAATGGAATGATCCGGCGCTCCGCAACCTATTCCCGAAGAGGAACGAGAACCTTTCCCTGGACGCGCTCATCGCGATGGCCATCCGCCTGGACAACTTACTTCGGGAGCGCCGACGCCCTCCTCTCTCCTCACCCTCCTCCTTTGGCCGTCCTGAGGCAGAGCCTGAACCTATGGAGATAGGGGTAACACACCTCTCTGTGGCAGAGCGACATCGCCGGAGACAGCTGGGGCTGTGTCCCTATTGCGGCCAGGAGGGGCACCGGCTCCAGCAGTGTCCAGTGCGTCCTAACCCGAAGTCCACTGGGGCAGAGGGACGGCCTCGTGATCCTCCGTCTCCCAGGGTAGATGTGAGTATTCCTTCATCGTTTTCCGCCAAACCCTTCCTGATTTTCATTTCACTGGGTGGCTGTTCCTCAAGTGTTGTCTCCAAGGCTCTAGTGGACTCCGGTTGTGCATATGGATCATTTCTGGGAACTTTTATTTCAGCTCATGAAACATGGAACCAACACTTTACATGTTGCGTTTTATATTTTTGTTCAGTATATTTGGCTGCATCTGCAGGGCGAGTGCAGGTACCACCTGTGCCATAAAAGTGTTGGGGTCTTGGGACTGGCAGAGGTAGTACACTTACTCACATACAGGGAGAATAAAACTAGAGGTGACATGATTTTCTGTTCTTGACAGAAACATGTACATCACATTGTTGAGGCATTTATGTCAATAGTTTATTCTTCTGTTTTCCCTAGGGCGCATGTTTGGAGTTGGTTGCTCCATGGGACCTGTCCTCCACTACTCGTATCCGTGGCTGGACAAAATCTACATTGGCAAAGCCTTGCACACTTTAGGCAAGAAAGTCTTAGTGGACCAGCTGGTTAGCCCACCAATCCTTGGAGCTTGGTACTTTATAGGTAAGAATGAAATGCAGAGGCTCTTTTGGCTTCCATTCATACCAGGTATAATTTATTTTGCATTAAAATAATTGTAAATAACATTATCATATGCAATATATCAAGTGTCTTAGCGCAAGAAGAAATAGGCCTACACCCCTTTCAGCCTTTTCACTAGTCTTGTTTATCTATAGGCGTTTTCACATTGGGATTAGGATTGGCTCGGGGGTGAAATGATCTGGGCCCGGTTTCCCAAAAGCATCTGAAGGCTAAGTTCATCGTTAGAACCTTCGTAGGAGGGTCGTTAAATCTCCGAGCTGTTTCCCAAAACCATCGTTATTAATGTTGCACTTGAAAACGCTCTTAATCTTAATGCCTGCCTCAGACCACTCATAGAACAGCTAAATGCGTAGTTTGACGCAGGAGGGCAAAAAAGCATCTCTTTTTACACAGAAGACCTCCGCTAAACATAGAATCACATGGTTTATCAGTCTCTCTGTGACCACTGATAACTTCAGAATAAAGTTGACTACAAATACAATGTCTTTGTATAAATTGCAATCAAGCAATTTATAATAATATGCTTCAAATTAACAACATGCATTCAAGTCTTTCCTGGCTGAGGGTTGACGAGAGATTAACTGCTTCTCTTCTAGTTATGAGAAATATTACTGTGAAGAAAATTCTAGATTGTCTGCATAATCAAATGACATTCAGCTCAGACACCCATACATACAGTGCCTTGCAAAAGTATTCATCCCCCTTGGCGTTTTTCCTATTTTGTTGCATTACAACCTGTAATTTAAATTGATTTTTATTTGGATTTCACACCAACCCTAAAAACTGTCTACATAAAATCTCCTCTCTTCCGGGGCAGGTCACTGCACTGCAAGGGCTGCAATAATGGGCTTGTAAAAGCACTGAAACATATGCGGCTAGAATCTTCTCAAAACTCAAAATGTAGGGATCTCTTTGTAATACATAACTACAGTGCCTTGCAAAAGTATTCATCCCCCTTGGCGTTTTTCATATTTTGTTGTATTACAACCTGTCATTTAAATGGATTTTTATTTGGATTTCATGTAATGGACATACACAAAATAGTCCAAATTGGTGAAGTGAAATTAGAAAAATAACTTGTTTCAAAAAATTCTAAAAAATTTATTACGGAAAAGTGGTGCGTGCATTTGTATTCACCCCCTTTGCTATGAAGCCCCTACATAAGATCTGGTGCAACCAATTACCTTCAGAAGTCACATAATTAGTTAGATTGCACACAGGTGGACTTTATTTAAGTGTCACATGATCTGTCACATGATCTCAGTATATATACACATGTTCTGAAAGGCCCCAGAGTCTGCAACACCACTAAGCAAGGGGCACCACCAAGCAAGCGGCACCATGAAGACCAAGGAGCTCTCCAAACAGGTCAGGGACAATGTTGTGGAGAAGTACAGATCAGGGTTGGGTTATAAAAAAATATACAATACTTTGAACATCCCACGGAGCACCATTAAATCCATTGTTAAAAATGGAAAGAATATGGCACCACAACAAACGTGCCAAGAGAGGGCCGCCCACCAAAACTCACGGACCAGGCAAGGAGGGCATTAATCAAAGAGGCAACAAAGAGACCAAAGATAACCCTGAAGGAGCTGCAAAGCTCCACAGCGGAGATTGGAGTATCTGTCCATAGCACCACTTTAAGCCGTACATTCCACAGAGCTGGGCTTTACGGAAGAGTGGCCAGAAAAAAGCCATTGCTTAAAGATGAAAATAAGCAAACACGTTTGGTGTTCGCCAAAAGGCATGTGGGAGACTCCCCAAACATATGGAAGAAGGTACTCTGGTCAGATGAGACTAAAATTGAGCTTTTTGGCCATCAAGGAAAATGCTATGTCTGGCGCAAATCCAACACCTCTCATCACCCCGAGAACAGGCAGGTCCACAATCAATCTCTCAAACATACCCAAGCCCAACCCCTCTCTCCCCTCCCGTCATGCTGTAATTAATCAAGGAGATGCCCAAGGAGAGACAAAGGGATTAGCCTGAACTCTGTTCAACCCCGGGTCACCCTGGATTTGCCTAAGGAGAGCCACAGGGTCACAGTCTGGTTTCAGTCACTGACAAGATAAGACAACTGTAGAATCTGACCTGAACACAGGTCAGATGCCCATTTCACACACACACAAACCCAGTGAGAGGAACCAATTAAGTTATTGCCTAGCAACAGAGATGTACCCATGTTTAACCCTGGCTCCATGTTCGTCATGTTGTGATTAACTTTGTTTATCTTACAGTTTACTGAAAAATCCTCATCACAACTTGTTAACTTATGCCAAATAATTCTGGGAAACTTGTGGGGAACATTCTACTGTTAGCTGCAAATTTGCTGCAAACTCAGTATGAATATGCAAATTAGATCAGGGTTTTGGTTACTGTGTGTTAACAACATTGAAATGTTGTATATACATAAACCAAATCACATAACTTTAAATGAACTTATTTCTCAGAGAAAAAACGAAACACAATGCAGTAAATATACTAAACATGTATTCAATGTATTAACAGATCAAAATCAATCCAATACAACTTGAAATCATCAGCATGGTAATGAGGAAAAGAGAAAAGACTGGATATTTCCCAAATAAATTGTTTATTTAATATTTTTATGTAGCTACAACATTTTACATGAGAGAAATGTGAACACTATGGGGATGTTGACCTTAGGATGTTTAAAGGGACAACTACAAAATTATTTACAGTGCCTTCGGAAAGTATTCAGACCCCTTGACTTTTTCCACATTTTGTTATGTTACAGCCTTATTCTAAGATGGATTAAAAACAACATTTTTTCTCAGCAATCTACACACAATACCCCATAATGACAAAGCGAAAACAGGTTTGTAGAAAGTTTTGCAAATGTATTACAAATATATATATATATATATATATATATATATATAAATAAACATAGTGAGGGAAAAAAGTATTTGATCCCCTGCTGATTTTGTACGTTTGCCCACTGACAAAGAAATGATCAGTCTATCATTTTAATGGTAGGTTTATTTGAAAAAAATCCAGAAAAACGCATGTCAAAAATGTTATAAATTGATTTGCATTTTAATGAGGGAAATAAGTATTTGACCCCCTCTCAATCAGAAAGATTTCTGGCTCCCAGGTGTCTTTTATACAGGTAACGAGCTGAGATTAGGAGCACACTCTTAAAGGGAGTGCTCCTAATCTCAGTTTGTTACCTGAATAAAAGACACCTGTCCACAGAAGCAATCAATCAATCAGATTCCAAACTCTCCACCATGGCCAAGACCAAAGAGCTCTCCAAGGATGTCAGGGACAAGATTGTAGACCTACACAAGGCTGGAATGGGCTACAAGACCATCGCCAAGCAGCTTGGTGAGAAGGTGACAACAGTTGGTGCGATTATTCGCAAATGGAAGAAACACAAAAGAATTGTCAATCTCCCTCGGCCTGGGGCTCCATGCAAGATCTCACCTTGTGGACTTGCAATGATCATGAGAACGGTGAGGAATCAGCCCAGAACTACACGGGAGGATCTTGTCAATGATCTTAAGGCAGCTGGGACCATGGTCACCAAGAAAACAATTGGTAACACACTACGCCGTGAAGGACTGAAATCCTGCAGCGCCCGCAAGGTCCCCCTGCTCAAGAAAGCACATATACAGGGCCGTCTGAAGTTTGCCAATGAACATCTGAATGATTCAGAGGAGAACTGAGTGAAAGTGTTGTGGTCAGATGAGACCAAAATTGAGCTCTTTGGCATCAACTCAACTCGCCGTGTTTGGAGGAGGAGGAATGCTGCCTATGACCCCAAGAACACCATCCCCACCGTCAAACATGGAGGTGGAAACATTATGCTATGGAGGTGTTTTTCTGCTAAGGGGACAGGACAACTTCACCTGCATCAAAGGGACGATGGACGGGGCCATGTACCGTCAAATCTTGGGTGAGAACCTCCTTCCCTCAGCCAGGGCATTGAAAATGGGTCGTGGATGGGTATTCCAGCATGACAATGACCCAAAACACACAGCCAAGGCAACAAAGGGGTGGCTCAAGAAGAAGCACATTAAGGTCCTGGAGTGGCCTAGCCAGTCTCCAGACCTTAATCCCATAGAAAATCTGTGGAGGGAGCTGAAGGTTCAAGTTGCCAAACGTCAGCCTCGAAACTTAATGACTTGGAGAAGATCTGCAAAGAGGAGTGGGACAAAATCCCTCCTGAGATGTGTGCAAACCTGGTGGCCAACTACAAGAAACATCTGACCTCTGTGATTGCCAACAAGGGTTTTGCCACCAAGTACTAAGTCATGTTTTTCAGAGGGGTCAAATACTTATTTCCCTCATTAAAATGCAAATGAATTCATAAAATGGGTTTTTCTGGATTGTTTTGTTGTTATTCTGTCTCTCACTGTTCAAATAAACCTACCATTAAAATTATAGACTGATCTTTTCTTTGTCAGTGGGCAAATGTACAAAATCAGCAGGGGATCAAATACTTTTTTTCCCTCACTGTATTTACCTAAGTATTCAAACCCTTTGCTATGAGACTCAAAATTGAGCTCTGGTGCATCCTGTTTCCATTGTTAATCCTTGAGATGTTTCTACAACTTCATTGGAGTCCACCTGTGGTAAATTCAATTGATTGGACTTGATATGGAAAGGCATGCACCTGTCTATATAAGGTCCTACAGTTGACAGTGCATGTCAGAGCAAAAACCAAGCCACGAGGTCAAAGCAATTGTCCGTAGAGCTCCGAAACAGGATTGTGTCGAGGCACAGATCTGGGGAAGGGTACCAACAAACTTCTGTAGCATTGAAGGTCCCCAAGAACACAGTGGCCTCCATCATTCTTAAATCAATGAAGTTTGGAACCACCAAGACTCTTCCTAGAGCTGTCCGCCCAGCCAAATTGAGCAATCGGTGGAGAAGGGCCTTGGTCAGGGAGGTGACCAAGAACCCGATGGTCACTCTGACAGAGCTCCAG